AAAGTGGAGCAGGAAAGCTGAGATTAAAAAATTATATTTACCCAGCACTTCAAAGTGGCAGGCACTGAGATGCTTTAAATAATTGACTGTTTAGGCTCTTACTATGTGCTAGGCTGAATGCTCTGCCAGGCTTATGGCGTTTAATTCTTATGGCCCTTTGAGTTAAGTATTATCCCTAGTTCACAGATCCCCTTCCTTCACCGGAAACAGAAGCACAGAGGCTAACTAACCCAAGCAAGTGGGATCAGAATCCAGGCTTGCCCTTGGAATATTCATAGCCACCCTATGAGATAATGTTGTTTTTGCTATTTTACAAATGAGGAAACTAAAGTTCAGAGGGGTTAGGTGATTTGCTCAGAGACACAGCTAGTAGACTGCAGATCTGGGGTTCAAAGATAAGTGTTTAGGATCCTAAATGTTGAGCTCTTAACCACTGCCTCTCGGAACCTTCAGAAGCAAGAGCAATGAGGAACCTACAACTGACCTCTGCTACGGGCCCCCGACCTGGGCGGGAGGTTTCGCAGAGTACGAGACTGTAAGCGTGTGGCGAACGTAGCGCGCCTGCTCGGCGCTGCGGCTGCGCGAAAGCAGCGTGGAGCCGGGGGGAGGAGGCTCAGGCGCGCCAGGGGGCTCCTCTGCTCCCCACAGGGTGGCCCACAATGCTCCGCGCGCAGCCCGCGTGCCGGCGCCGGGGGCGGGGCCTAAAGGCGGTCCTAGTGGAACCCGGCTCGCTCGAGGCCCGGGTGGCGAAGGCGAGGCTGCGGGCCTGGGCAGCGTTGCTTGGTCTCGCCACCTCCCCAGACTTGAGCGTGTAGGAGTGGGCCCCCCTCTGAGCCTTTCTGCTGAGCCGCGGATATTCGAGGAAGAGGAGGAGCCGCGCCGCTCCAGGCCCTGAGGCCAAATCTGGGCGGGCGGCCCGGTCCGCCAGCGTCCTCTGCCCACGTGGGCCTCAGCTGTCTGGCCGCGGCCCCGGGGCTAACCCGCGTTGCGGTCACGTGCTTCTCGTCTCACGAGGTCGCACTGCCTCAGCCCTTGCGGCCAGACATCCCCGCGGTTCTAATGTGGCGCCGCTACCAGGCCTACAAAAGGGACTCCCAGATGGGCGAAGGGGAAGGAAGTCCCATGAGCAGCCTCCAGGCAGAGCACTGCTCGCTCTTCCTCAAAGAGGGGAGTAGTTAGGCGGGCTTATGGCCTGTGGTTGGAACATTCGAGCCCTTCCTTCGGCAGTAGAGGGGATCCCTGATTCCTCCTGCCTAGTTTATCCTCCAGTACCTCCTCCCGATCGCCCTAGAAACATCGAGAAATCCTCAGCCTTCGCTGAGTGGCTGTGAAAGCGGGTGCACAATACAATTCCCAAGTTTTCTAATGAGGAAGCAGCGAAGGTGGTGTTGTGACAGTAACAATAGCCAGTAGAGAAATGGGTATTTACTATGTGCCAAGCATTGTTCCCTGCGCTTGCTAAATATCAACTCGGCCCTCACAATAACTTGATGAAGAGAGTTTCCTTTATTACCCTCGCTTCACAGATGAAGGCCTGGAGCAGAGACCAGTTAAATTACATAACCAGCGTCAGGAGCTGGGATTCGAACCCAGGCAGTCTAGTTCCCGTGTTGGAGTTGTGGCCTGAACCTGAGTTGTTGGTCCTTCTGGGTCAGTTCTCCAGACTTCTAACTAACGAGAATGTTCCTTAATGAAGGCATTGAGACCTCTCTGGGATGTCCAAGGCTGAAATGAAACTAACCCCAGCTCTTGGAAGTAATCCCTTACCATCTGCTCAGTAACTGGCTTTCCAGTGCGCGCTTGCCCTCGTTCCCTCACTGAGTCCTCACCGCGACCCGGGAGGCAGCTCTTGCCAGCCTTAGTTTGCCCGAGGAGGAAAACGAAGGCTGGGAGAGGCCACTGGCACCCCAGCTAGTAAGAGATCGGAACACGCTCTTCCCCTGGGAAAGGCGGCCGGCGGGGGTATAGCCAGGCGAGGACGTGCGCAGGGGGCGGGGATGGCGGTGGTGGTGAAAGGATCATGGCTGTTCCCCCAAGCCCGGTCGTTAGGATGCTTTTACGCGCGGAGAGTGGTAGCCTAGCAGGGGGCAAGTGTTGGCACAATTCCAGGGAGGCGGTAGGAGGCTGGAAAATGTAGAAAACTTGGCGGGCCCTTAACTGGCGCTTCGTACAGGGCGTGTCTGGAGCGCACCGAGTGCCGCGCGCCCTCTTGCTGCCCCCGAGTTCACGGTTTGCTCGCGCTGCTTCTGAAACAGCGACCCCCTGCTGAAGGTGGCTTGTCTTGTTCTGCCCAGGTCGGGTCCCAAGTCAGCATTCTGCACTCTTTGGTGAATCATCCCAAACAAGTGGGAGCGGCGTTGGCCCTTCGTGATACTATCGGGTAGTGCCAGCCCTGGGTCTCTCCCGGAGAGACCTCGTTACCCACGTTGAAAGCCGGCTCTGTCATTTGGCTTTTTCTGCAATATGTCACGGTGCCCTTTACTGAAACATGGACACCAGAGAATCCAGACATCAGGAAGTGTCTGCGTCTAGCAGGCACTTCCATGTCTTGCCTTGCTGCCCAAATGTTGGGCCCAAACTCAGCTATGAGTAGCTTTAGGGATAGAGCAGCTAATTCAGTCCCCAAAGTAAGAAATGGAACCCGCAGCACTCTCAGCACGTTGACTTTCCCCAGGATATTTTCCCAAGTTCAGAGGATCCCACTTGTCTGGAAATATTGACTTTCCTAGGGCCTCAGGTAAACTGACTCTAGAATGTAGATAATGCTCTGAGGCATCTGATCACATACACAAGGTACCAGGTACTAAAATCTCATGTAGAAAATATATTCTTTAGAACTCTATTCAGTTTTGCTTCTCCGGGACCAACTGCCCTCCTATACGACTTCACACAAACTATTTCCTCAAAACCATCTTACCTGAAAACATGCAACAAGGGGCGCTGACTACTTTATGGACATGCAGCCAAGGAAAAGGACAGTTCTGAAAGTTTTTTTTTTTGATTGCTACCCTCAACCACATTCACCCCCAACCTGCTTAAACACACACACACACACACACACACACACACACACGACCATGTCTGATCAGGTATAATACTGTTCAGACCTAAATTGAATTCTAGGCCTTCAGGAAATCTCAACATCCAGGACTTCACATTCAATATGTTTATTCTTCTTAGGAATTTGTGAATGATTTATTTGACAATTCTGGATATTATTTATTTTTAAAATATAGGTTTTCCTTAAAACTTTAGAGGACATTATGGATTATGTCTTGGTTACCTTTATATTATATTACCAGAAGACTATCAAATCGGTCTGGAATTGGCTTTTCAATCAGCAAGTTCAAGAGAACACATATGTTCAATCCCCTTGCCTATTATTTCTGCCACTTTGTAATGTATATACAGTGTTGGTTATACTAGTCATGCTGTTACTATTGTTTGTGACAAATTTATCTTTGAATTCTTTAACAGAGCACATCTCCGAGTATTAGAATTGAAGAAAGACTTACATTGGCTGTCCTTAAGTGTTTATGAAAATCTGTTAAAAGCTACAGGCTTTCCATATAATGTTTGGGGAGACATTTCCCCCATCGACACTAGATCAATACCTCTGTATTAAATCATGAAACACCTGCAATTCATTTGAACTGAAATCATGAAAGATGGTTTTCACTCAAACAGTCCAGTTTGCAATATGACCAGGAGAGCAGTTTGGGTATGAGAGCATAGTTTGTGAAGAAATTAACCTAGATTCCCAAGGCTCTAACAAAGCAATGTGAATCATCACTGCTGTGGTTACTAATTAATATCTACTCACCAAATCCTTTTCATTTCTTTTCGTTTTGGCCTCCCTTTTCCATCGAGAAAATCAGATGTCCATCTCTCTCCTCAGACTTCAGGAAAGTATGCCACGGGCAAATTCTAAGCTAGAAAGTCCTGGGCATGTGTGCCTTCTGTCTAGACCCCCTTCCCAGGAGAAGAATGCTTCATGCTGCTCATCCCCCAGCAGCGCAGTTTACAATCTAAGTCCACACTTGGGAGGACTAGCTGGGATCAGGCGCCAGGGAATAGAATCTGCCCAGTATGTACCCACTGTGTGTCAATCAACACCTTTCATTTTAACTCAAGAACTACATACAGCCTAAAATAGAGAGGAAAAATGTAAAACTCAGGTACTGAGTGTTGGGATGATGTCCCTTCTCCTGGCTGGTAAATAAATTTGATGTGGAACCTCTCCACTTGGTGACATTCCTAAGGCCTAGAGTCAGTTTTCTCAAAATCTGATGCTCCCTCCCATTTGAAACTCCTTGGTCCCCAGTCTGCCTGGAAAGCCTGGCCCAGAGGGTGAGGAGGCTCAGAGTGGCTGACTATGGCCCTGCCTACTTTTCCTTTCCCCCACCCTACTCCTTCTACAAAGATCTATGCAAGGGCTGTGGTGTCTGAGTCTGAGAAGGACTTTGTAACCTGCAGACTTGACAGAAAAGCAGGATATTCCTTGCCAGCTCTCTAGATATTCGTGTGAGGAGGAGTATAAGAGCTGGGAGAATCCAGGGGCTCAGGATACTGGATATTGGATCTGGTTCACAAGTCACACTCACACAGGGGAGCATGAGGCATTGATGTCAGATCTGTGGTAGTCACCTTCAATATCACCTCAGTTTGCTGGCCCTGCTAGAAGTCATACTCAGAGGGCATTAATCCTGTTGACTACAACTCAGATCCAGGAGAGGAGATGAATTACACAAAGCTCTCAAAGACTATCCACCTCACAGCTGAACTCCAACACAAGGGCAAGTGGAACCTGAGAGCCCTCAGAGAGCAGGTTTTGAACTTGAGAAAGGTAGCTTATAATCATAAGGACAACAGTAGTAGCAGCAGCAGCATTGAAAACAGCTACTATTTATGGAGAAAGAGGAAAAGCTGAAGAGAGCAAAGCGTGAGTCAGGAGTGATGATCCCTGCAGTCAGTCGGGAGCCTGGAGTCCCTCCTCCCAGCCTACAAAATTATCCATCCTTTGAGTCTCTGGCTCTCCCAGGACCAGGCTAGGAAACATTCACTCATTTATCACCTGATGAACCAACTGTAACACTTAGGGTGAGGAACAGACCCAGACGGAAATTGCCATGTATACTTAAAAAAAACAAAGTTCCCCCCATCCTTGTAAACCTTTATCCAGCTCAGGAAGTCTGCCTCTAAGTTATCTCTTAGAAAGTTCCTTATTCTCCATGGTGAGGCTAGGCAGTGCAATGCCCCTCCATGAAGTCCCATCCTCTGCCTCCCCCAACCCTCACAGCCCCTTCCAGAGACCTCCCTGTGGGAAATTAATAAGCTTAGGAAAAAGGCTCCACTGTCTGCTTCATTGGCATCCTCCTGTCTTCCAGTGAGGTTTTCCTTTACCATGAATTGCCTTTTTTTTTTTTTTTTTTTTGACAATTAAGGCTTTGCTGGTGTAGTGCTTTGGCAATAGGATTAGAGGGGGATGAACCAGGACCTAGAAAGAGAGAGAGAGAAAAAAAAACAAGGTGTTTTCATTCTTATAGGATAATAATCCTTCTAAGTGAGTTATTCGTAAAGACTTCACCTGCCTCCTGTCACAGAAGTTGAGATATTTTGGGTCCCATTTCTCTACTCTGGGAGGAGAAATGGCGTTTCCATTCTAATACTCTCTAAGAATCAGATTCCCTTTCTTACCCTTTGTCCACCCTTTCACTTAGGTCATAAAAGCCACCTCAGGACTCATTCATCAACCTCTCTCTAGCCTTCTCTTCCAAAACAATAGTGCAGTTGTCTACACATGTATTTTTACTTGCATAACTGCAAGAGGGCTTGCTAGAGTGGAGCCAGGTGAACATACCCTCACTCTTCATTGTCATCCCTCTAATCATTTAATAGGAAATAAAATCCCAGGGAAAAGAGCTCCAAATATATGCATAAACCCAATTTTCCATGTGAATTAGATAAAACTATTGACTGAGATGCATTTTTATAGCACTGTTTGAGGCTGAATAAATGCCTCAACCTTTCATTTAGTATCAGTGAATTCCAGTAAGTAATAATGCAGAGTGATTTCAAAGTAGTTTATGCACCATTTTAGCCCATAAATTTCTAGAGAAATAAAAGTAATTTGTAGATTTTCTTTACCTCCCATTAAGATTGTCATTTAGACCATTTATATTACACCATGCAAAATGTGTACCTCTTCAAATACTGGAAAACCCTCAAAGTAGGAATTTCAAGCTTAATCTTACCCATATTTAGGTTTATGTTATGTCAGTCATTTAATACATAAGACAAAGAGTTTGTTGGATTCATAAAATATTAAAAATTCTTTCATTTGGGGATTTTTATCTGAAATCAATAGGAGAAATCTAATTAGGCAGCAGAAAAGTCACACTGATAGGAAATATCATCTGAGGCCCAGATTCTCATACATCTCTCCCCTCTTTGATGTATAGAAGCTTAGCTGTTTTTCTAGCTTGAGATTTAGAAGGTCAAGCTCCCCTGTCCCCAACTTAAGTACCAGAAACATGATTTTATACAAACTGGAGTCTAGGTTTCAGTACCTCAAAGGATACAAAGTCTAAGTGCCTCTATATTTAAGAAAGGAAAGGCCAGGGAAAAGAAAAATGCTTTCCACTTAGCGTTTAAGTTTATCTGAATGCCCACATTCTGGGGTGGATGCTTTTATATTTAGAATAATATATTACAATAATGTAAGAGGATGTTTTTAAGCAGCTTGCATGGACCGATGACTTTTCCTGGGAAAGTCAAACTTCCAATTCTCTAAATAACAGCAAAAGGAGTGTTCTGTTCAATAGTCTAATGGAATTAGGTTCCTGGACACTGCCCTCCCACACACACACCTTTGCTTTATCAGGCTGTAGTTTCTAAGGTTCTAAAACTCTCTTATGGCTACTTCTTTATCTTAACTTGCTGTAGTTTATACCTGTGTCTCCTCTGCCCTTTCTTTTTCCTTTTCTTGTTTCCTGAATTCCCTTAAGCATCTGGCCACTATTCTTCAACCCTGTGGGTTATTTTTCAGATGTTTGAGGCAATTCTTTTGACATTTCTAATTTCCCTATCCTTTCTTTAAACATGTGATGGGGGGGTGCTTTATTGTGTGTGAGAGAGATGAATGGAGCATCCAGTCATAAGATAATTGGTGGCTAAATACAGATGCAGATTCTCATATACAGACGTGTGAGAACCCTCAGCACTGAACCTTGGTCATTATGAGTCGCCCTTAGCCAAACTATTTAAAGTGCACACATGCATAAAAGAAATGATATGCTAAGATGAAAGACAACTGCAGTTTAAGAAGCTTTCTTTGAAAAGTCAGTAGCTAGCCTGGAAATTAAGGGAGAATTCCTCCCTTCCTCCCTAATACATGGGAATTTTGCAACTCTTCTTTCCCCCAGTCCCAGCTTATCCTGAGGCAGCCGGCTCTGTCTGATCAGAAGGACTTGGAATTTATGGGGGGGGGGGGACGCTGACCAGGGCCAGATGAAAAGAAGGGAACAGAGAGAGAGAGACCAAGGAGAAGAGAATTCACTTAGTGGGAAATTCCTCGCACATTTTTTGTTTCTCCTCAGCAAAATCCTTCCCTGGCCTCCCTGGACCGCAGGCGCCGGCGAGGAAAGGTACTCCGTGCCTCGCTCGCTGCCCCACTGGGTTCCGGAGGGAGGTCTCCGAGCTGAGCTGCCAGAGGATCAAACTAACGCGGTACACACCTTTTCCTTTTAAGCTGCTTTTTGCCAACCCCCAATCCACTTACCTTTTTCAACACTGGATAAAAACGAGGCTGTCTCCTCCTTAAGTCGTGATTCTGCTTTGTCTACTTTAGCCGGCTACACAATCCGATTTATCCTAAAGCTAACAGATTGCCCTCTTCAGTGTAATCGTGGTGTGGGTGGGGCTGAGGGAGTGGGGCCGTCTATATCATTCAAAGATCTTTCTTCCCTTAGGAGTAGACAGTTGAACAGCGAAAAAGAACCCCGAGATCTCTCGGCGAAAATATGTTGCGGTCCCTCCTCAAGGACTCAACTTTCAGGCTGTTCAAGACCTCAAGTCGTTAGTATCAGCTGCTGCACTAAAGGGGCAGCCAGCGCCTCTAAGTGGCTTAGCGCACAAACGAGGCTCCCGAGACCGCCGCGGCAGCTCCATCCACTCACTCTTCCACCACCGGCTGGACGTGAAAAGCTCTCTGCAGCCCATCTCGGTAATAATTTTTACTTTGACTCACCCTTCTCCCCCACTCTCAGAGGTCTTAGAATACGGGCCACCCGCAACAGGGGACCCTTCCGGGACTACAAGAACGCGCCAAGCAGAGGGTGGAGGAGCAGGAACAGCTTGAGTCCAAGAACCCGGGTTCTTCCCACCCGTCTCCCATCACCCCTTCTCCTGCCCAGGTACTTGTGTCCTGGGACCATGAGACCCCTGTAAATCCCCTCCCGAGGTCTGGCGGCGTCCCCACTCCATCTCCCCTTACCCCTACTCCGGTTCCACGGAAAGACTGAGCCAAGTTCTCACGAAAGAGCATCCTTTCTGAATCGTTCTCGGAAGGGATTGGTAGTGTAAGCGCTCCTGGAGTGAGCTAGAGCCGGTTTATCACCCCCGGACAACTAGCTGCGCAACATCAGCGGCGGCTCAATGGCCAGAGAATCCCTCGGGGCTAATCCGCAACCCCCCTCCCCTTCACAGAACTCAGACTCGGGAAACGCGCTCGGGGTCCGTGCGCGCGCTGGGTGGCCAGCTCTCTGCCAGAGGTTCTTCAAGTGCCAAGCGAAACGGAAAAAGGCCCTCTCCAGTTCTTTTGGTACTTCCTTTTTCGACCCCCAAACTGATTTTCCCCTCCTAACAGTCCCAAAGTGTCGAAGCTTTAGGAGAAGGCGGGCGGGGCCGCGCTCAGAGAGGCGTTGCCAGTTGGGGAAGGCACTCAGGACCTGCGGGGCGCGGGCAGGCCGGAAAGACCGCTTCCAGGCTGGCGGCGCCGGAGGGAGCGCCCAGCCTAGCAAAGAGTTAAAGGGAGGGGACGTGGGCTGTCACGCGTCATTGGGCAGATTATGTGCAGCAAACAAAAAGTGTGTGTCTGCGTGCCAGTCACTCACTGCATCGGGTCCATCTGTACAACTCTCTCCGCTTTCACTCTCTCTCTCTCCTCTTACTCTCTCCTTATCTCTCTCTCCCCCAATCTCTCCATCTCTCTCTCCTCTCTTTAGGCAGAGCCTACTAGACTGCAACACCAACACCTCTTGACATGGAAATACACTGATACAATAGGCAAAAGAAACACTCGACTGCATCTCCCGATTCCAGGTGGCCTTATTTGGGCGATTCGATCCTGATCTTATTCCTGGTAAGTCTATTTGCATTGATGTAGGAGGGCGACGGGAGGAAGGCAGGTTTTGTGGGGAGGGTGGAAAATTTTGTCCTCCGTTTCCTCATTATCCAGAAAAGGGGAAAAAAATAATTGTTGAGGGAATCTCTACTGCCAATAAAATTATACAAAGGGAGGAGCGGGTGGGCAGCACTTCGCCGGAGCAGCAAGCGACTGGGGAGCGCGCGGCCGCCAAGACAATGCCTGCCTGCAGGGGAGGGCGAGCGGCGGGCGGCAGCGCCCGGTTTTCGGCGAGACCAGTCGGCCCTGGGGAGGATCCCCCAGCGGATGAGAATCGGGGCCTAGAGGAGGATCAGAGCTGTGAAAGGCTGGGTGGCGAAGGCGACCGCGCGCCGGCGGGAGAGTCCAGGCTCTCGCCCAGCGGTTATTGTGACCGGCTTGAGGCTCGTGGCGGCCGCCGCGGCGACGCGGCCCCCTATTAGCGCGGCGTAGCGAGGATCTTTTCACCGTATTGTTAGGTAGAACTGCATTTTAATGATTGCGTCCCTGCTGTTGCCCGAAGTGACGGGGCGACCTCCCGGCACAATGAAATGCTTGTGTGAAAGAGACTTTTAAAAGGAAGAGAGAAATTGGGGCATAAAACGCTGAATTGAGGAAATTGAAAAGGAGAGAATAGGATTCTGTTGAAAAGAAGACTAGAGGTTCTGAAGGTTTTTTTTTTTTTTTTAATGTATTTAAATTTCAACTAGAATTAGAACAGCTACCTTGTGTGGAGTAAAAATGTCCAGGGATAGATAGCTGCCCTAGCATAATAAAGTAAGTTTCTACTTTATGGACATTTTCTCTTATTTCTGTCTGGCAGATACAGCCTAATTCTTGACATTTAGGGGATGTAGCAGAGTGAATGGAAAAAGAGGCTGATCAAAGTTTCATGCTCTATTAGCTAGAAAAAAAAAAAAGCACCACCTTGTAATCATATTTGCAAGATTAATTGGTTAATAGACATTAAGATAAAAATGGACATTGCTAATATTATTCTATAATGAACAATTTCTCAAGGAAAGAATTTTCTTGCTACTTAATTTTACAAAACATACATAAATTACTGCCTATGGTGACATTTTTAGGGAAAAACCAACTTTGGGGAATATTTTAATTAGAAAGAGTGAACAATGTAATTAGTTCAAAGCCAGTTTAAAATTTAAATACCTGTTTTGTTTTTTAAAAATGATAAGTCTTGGAGGGGTGTCCAGTGGCCTAGGAAGGAAGATGTCTCTTTATGACAGCTTAATAGAGAGCCCTCCATCAGACATTACTTTCTAAATTGCTGAGGATTAAACAGCTGGAGAGCCCACCGAGGTCCACTCAAGCAGGGCTGCCCCCTCTTGCCCAGACAGGGTCCTATCTTGGCGAGCGAGAATTCACCAATCATTACACACGCAGTATTTCAGACCGGGGACACTTCAGGCCTGCCCTGTACCTGCTCACTTCATGAGGCACATGCGACTCAGTCCACCCCCTTGTATAACAAGGTAACTGGGATTCACCCTCATCCATAAATAAGCATGTCGAGAAAGAAATAATTACCTCTGCTTGCTGCTTTTAATTAAAGCCTCGGAGGGACAGTGTTGGATTATGGTAATGAGCAGACATACGTCCCCTCTTGTAGGCTGCAGAGAAAGGTTAGCTGACACGGAATCAGCAGCCCTGACACTCCGCTGGAAATCCATTCGCCATGCTCCGCTGTCTCCGCCTGCTCGCTAACGCTGCTCCCCTCTTTGGAAGAAAAAAAAAAAAAAAATCAGCTCCCAGGCACCCAGTTCAATACATAAGAGGAGAGAAGAGGAGCTTTCTCCCAAGAGTTAGAGTTTCTTTCAGTCAGAAAAGTCTCTAGGCTAGTGAAAAAAAATCCTATTGTTCTCCCCACCCTCACCCCCCAAATCCTGCCCCATCCTCCCCCAAGGTAATGCAAAAATGATCTCCTCTCTCCTAGCCTTATATTTCTTTCTCCCAAGCAGTCAGTCCACTCTGAGCTCCTGTTCAGATAATAAATAACTATTCCAATTATTTTTTTATGGAAAAGAAAGTACTCAGTTGGCAGCTTCAAAATATGCCAGATTTAATCTGTCATTGGCTTTATTTCTGAAATAAGAGCTATGCAAAAATCAGGCAAATTCAAGAAAAATCTGTCTAGTAGTTAAAACGTTCTGCCTGGATTTCTAGAGGCAAAAGGAGTAATGTAACTGGCTTTGTTGTCCTGTGTACCTATCTCCAGTGATGGAGGATTCAGGCATCCAGCGAGGCATCTGGGATGGAGATGCCAAGGCGGTTCAACAATGTCTGACAGATATTTTTACCAGCGTTTACACTACCTGTGACATCCCTGAGAACGCTATATTCGGTCCCTGCGTCCTGAGCCATACTTCCCTGTACGACAGCATAGCTTTCATAGCTCTCAAGTCCACCGACAAGAGAACAGTCCCTTATATCTTCCGGGTAAGTATTGGCCAATGCTGCGTAGGGTATGAAGGTAACGTCCTGTTGAAAATGGACTAAGAATCACTCCAATGACAAGCTGAGACAGGTTCTGGATGTGGAAAACGGAATAAAGCGAGCCATCTTGTTTTGCACACTAAAAACTGGAAAAGGAAAATTAAACTCAAATTATTGTCAATTGATTTTCTGGAATAAGTGACAAAATTTGATTTGGAATGCCAGATATGTCTAAATCAGCGCCTCAATTTTGGGCTTTCCTGGTGATGAACACCACTTTCTCAAGTCTGGGAGATTTTACTAGGGTTGAAGCTATTCGCATACTAAGTACTTTCTGTAAGTACTTTTATCATAAGTATTGGGTGCATTTGCCTTCCAAACTAGGAGGCCTCCTGTTCCCCTAAATATTACTCTTTCTGGTAAAGCTAGCTAGTGCCCAGAGTTTGTATTTAAATAAAAATGCTAACGGTTTGACAATAAAACATCATTAAATCCATATGTTAGAGTTTGAAAATAAAAGTCTTCTCACTTCATATTCTTTCTTTACAAAGTAAAACTATTAATTGTTTAAGCCAAATTAGGAAGATGAGTGAATGCTACAGAATAATTTCTAAGATCAAAGCTTGCTTTTTATTTCCAAAACAAACAAAATGCCTCACACTTTTGTAATGTAGGATAATTTAGAAGTAGATTCTCCAGAGGTTAACACTAATTTGAATTGTAAGAAGAAATTTCCTCATTTAATGTTCAACCAACATATGTAAAAGACGACATGTTAAATAATCTATATGATTGATGCAGCGTTTCAAAGGACGGTTACCTTGCCTGCTGCTTACAAAAATGACTATGGGTGCCAACGTGGGTCAAGTTTTTGGAAGCTCGATCTCAGATAATTCTTTGGAAAAGAATAACGTAGAGGAAATGGCCCCGGTTCCTCTGGCTTCATTCTCTCACAAGAGTCTCTTCCCCCCTTCCGCCCCCCCGCCCGCCCACTTCCTTCTTGTATTCTTTCTTTTTCCTAAACTGTAGGTAGACACCTCAGCGGCAAATGGTTCCTCAGAAGGTCTCATGTGGCTGCGTCTGGTCCAATCAGCCAGAGATAAAGAAGAGCAGAATCTTGAAGCGTATATAAAAAACGGACAGCTGTTTTACCGCTCTCTCCGCAGGATTGCCAAAGACGAGGAGTTACTAGTTTGGTACGGGAAAGAACTGACTGAGTTACTCTTGCTCTGCCCCTCTAGATCCCACAGCAAAATGAATGGTAGGTTGGCTCGCGACCTGCGTATGGGCCCTTAGCTAGCGGGGGAGCGACGCAGGGGAGCGGCGGGGGCTCACCCTGGCGCATCGGCGCGCCTCTCCTCCCTTTGGGCGTCTCAGAAAGCTTCTGAGATACAGTCCGGAATGAAGCTGGGACAGATAGGTGAGGATAAATCGGGGACAGTTGGCTTAACTACTGCTCTCCCTTCAAATCAGGAGGGAAAGTTAGATCAGGTCGATCAGAATATTCTTTTCTCAGGCACTCAGGTCCTGAGAGATGAAGGTGGATTTGTGAAGGGGGTGATGGCAAACTGGCCTGGAAACCATGCTGAGTAATCATGTGGTATGCGTGTGTGTGCGTGCGCGCGTGTGTGCGTGTGTGTGGTGTTTGCTCACTAAGCAGGGTCGTCCCCTTACACATGCCTGGAATGCAGCCAACGTTTCCAGTTTGAGTTCCCCTATGTCGCGCATCTGCGATTCCGCTGCCCCAAGAGACTTCACAGCGCTGATATGAGCCCCCAAGACGAGCAAGGCGGCGGCGTGGGCACCAAGGATCACGGGGGCGGCGGAGGTGGCAAGGACCAGCAGCAGCAGCAACAGGAGGCACCCTTGGGTCCGGGCCCCAAGTTCTGCAAAGCCGGCCCCATCCACCACTACCCGGTCCCCTCCTCCGAAGGCAGTAACCCGCCCGCGGCTGGCGGCGGCAGCAGCGCCAAGCCATCCACGAACTTTCACAACCTGGCCCGGGAGCTGGAGAACTCCGGGGGAGGCAGCAGCTGCTCCCCCGTGCGGAGCCTCAGCGGCGGCACCAGCGGCGGCGGCCACCAGGAGGCGGAGCTGAGTCCCGACGGCAACGCCACCGGCGGCAGCAAAGGGAAAAGGAAATTCCCGGAGGAGGCGGCGGAGGGCGGCGGCGGCGGCCCGGGGCTGGTGGGGGGCCGGGGCCGCTTCGCGGAGCGGCCCCTGCCCGCCTCCAAGGAGGACCTGGTGTGTACGCCGCAGCAGTACCGCGCCTCGGGCAGCTACTTCGGCCTGGAGGAGAACGGCCGCCTCTTCGCGCCGCCCAGCCCCGAGACGGGCGAGGCGAAGCGCAGCGCCTTCGTGGAGGTGAAGAAGGCGGCCCGAGCGGCCGGTCTGCAGGAGGAGGCAGCCGCCGACGGCGGGGGC